AGTAAGTTAACACATTCATGTGTCGAGAGCCTCTACCCCGATCTCTGCCTGCACAGCAGTATTACACTAATCAAGCTAAAACTGAAGAAAACCAGTACATTAAAATACAAGGAGAAAAACCTCTGAATGTTTGACAAGCACATTTCCCATTTCTAACAGTTTGTAAATGCCTGCATGTTGATTTTCAGTGACAGAAACTCCAGTTAACAAGTGCCTAACAGTCTTCAGCGGGAGTCCTTGATAAAGAGGAGATAAATAGCACATCTCCAACTTTTAACTACAGCAGGAGCACTCGCGAAGCACTCGGTTGCTCTCCAGCTAGAGTAAGCTGAAAAACACTGCCTACTTTAGAAAAGGCTTTCATTTGGTAAGTAACGGCAACTCAGCATCGAGGAAAGCTGAGGACGGGGAAACAACAAATAGCCATGATGTTCTTCAAGAGCAGGAGCAGACCGGGAAATCAGGAAGCCCACAAAGCTTGTTGATCTGGAAACAAACACACCAGCTCCGATTTTGTTATTACTCTGCAACAGATGTAAGGAAAAAAAAGAAAGTAACGTCCCACTGCACCTTCTGCACATACATATACACACAAACTATGATTTTAATTCAATTTAAAAAAAAATTAACCCATGCGCACCATCAGAAGCAGCTGCTAGGCTCCGCTGTATAACAAGGCAGAGAAGGAAGAGCACATCTCTCCCTCAATTTGGTTTACACATTACCTTCGCATTGATTCATAAACACATGCACCCCAAACAACAGCTATTCGTCCTCACCCTTCCTTGCTGTTTCCATCAGCTCCTAGTCTTTCAAAGTCTCATCGGTTACGACTACTTAGATGAATCTCATTTTAAAAAACTATACACTGGAAATTTCTGAGAGGGATTTACTAATACATATGTGGCTTTTTTTTTTTTAATGAAAAGACAATTTCATAACTTCAATAATAAAACTGAATCTTTTCCTTTTAAAAAGAAATGGTTTTCATCTAGCTTCTTTTTTATGTAAGTTTTGCCAGCGTAGGATAACACAAGCATGTTACCATATGGCACGCCTACCAGAACTATCTTTAATTTTTTTCCTTGGAGATGTAAGCTAAAGTACCTGCAACTACGCTGTAATTTCCTTTTAGAGAGAACTTATCAAGCTGAATTTTTTTGGAACTGAACATATTTTCTAGTCCAATTCCCCTTTTTTTTTTCTTTTTTTTTTTTTTTTAAAGATTCAGGGTAACCTATTCAACCATTCGAGAGGTTTATAAAGTCTTTTCAGAAAGGAAGAAACAGATCAGAAAGAGAAAATAGTGGCACTGAAAATAACAACTGCTGTCAAAACTGAGCTGTATTAATTCAGTGACTTGTCTCACAAGACAGTCTTTTTATAACGTTACCCGTAACGAGAGAAAACAATGGTTTTTTTCCCCCCCCCCCCCCCTTGTAGCTTTATATGTCACTGGCCCTAGCAACAGCAAAGAATAGCAATGGATTTGTCAGCGGACAAGGACCGTGCAACGGGCCCGCGAGGGGGGCCCCAACCACCCTGTGTTATCCAAGCACAATCGCCCTGTTATTTGACAACAAGCAAGAAGTCTGCAAGCAGAACACGGCTTTTGATACCGTACTTGAGTGTCAAACTGACAGACTACAGCCAAGTTACTGACATGAAACCTGCGGGACAGGTTCACTGCAATTTAGAAAAAATTTCTAGTCTAAGTGCCCAATGACAATCTTCATCTGCCGCATCTTTATTGCGAGTTCAAAATTGTGAGTCGGTTCACACGAAGACAACAGTACCACCGACGCAGAGAAAACGGCACGGACAAACAATCAACTTCGCTACCTCCATACCAAGGAAACTCTCGGTGAATAGAAGGGGTGCAGAAAGTACTATGAAAAACTATGTAAAAAGTACTGTGAAAACGTGCGGGTTTTGCAGCTCGAAATACAAGTTTGTACTACTCAATGTGTAAAAGTGTAAAGATATCCAACCACTATCTTCAAATAACTCTATCGAGTTAACACGAATTTCAAGTTTGAGAAAAAGTGATGCTAATTTTCTGGATACTTAAATAAAAAACCCAGAACAATTAACTACTTGCCAGTAACACAGAAAGTTTCCCTGGTCTCCCTGAGGCCTACCAGGCATGTTTCAAAATTTTTTTTTTTTTTAATCCATTTCTAGACTGCAGATGAGCAAATTAGGTGCCGTCTACAACACTCTGCCAGCAACAGCTGAGACAGCTTTGCCAACATTTCTAGCTTTGTCATGCAGTAACTTCAGTTTCCATTTCTATATTTCATCCAGCAGGACCACTTGAAACAATGGAGGTGGGGGTAAAGGTTTGCTTTCCTAGGTTTCAGAAGGGTCTGGAAAAAGAAACAAGCATCTCATTATTGCCTGTGACAGAGGGTGGAGGGTTTCATGCTTTTCCGTTACCAGTTCGCCAAATGCCGCGGAGAGGGAGGCTCTCTAATTTGCAAACCAGACTCCCAGGACACCACCGTACTCGAAACCCTGTCCCCCCTTCTCCACTGCAGCAGCTGAGAATTATGAAGGAGGGGGACAGCTGGGCTTCTCATTAGGAGCACCGTGCCCGAATCCACGGACGTTCATTCGTACCCCCCCTCCCATTTGCAGCTTCCACCCTGCAGCTGATAGGAGCCTTTCAAAATCTCTCTTGGGGTAAGGCAGCACAAGCACAACGACAGGCAAGCTGGTTTGGTACGGCAGCGTTAAAAGAGAAATGCGGTGGAGAGATTTAGAAGGAAGCCGGCGTCGGTCTTATTTGTCTCCATGAGAACACAACTTACTAGAACACTCCCGTTCCCAAGATAAAGTACCTTCTCTAAAAGCAGGCTACATATACATCTGTTGGTTATCAATATAAGCCTTTAACAACTGTCAGATATTATGGCAACGGTCCCACTAACTGCTCGCACGTAACTCTGAACGTGCGAGAGCACTCAGCGTGGCGGAGGCCTTAATGGAGCTTGGCTCTGCAAGGGCGCCTTTTTCAGCTGCTTGGATTTCCCTTCCCTCCCTAGAGCACATCTTCACTTTAATTAATAGGTCACTGAACCGGTTTATGTTAATTGTCAGAAGTACCTCGTCTTTGTTCCCAAGGGGAGGGACCAAAGTCCATTCAGTTGTTGTCTACGAAGCAAAACTGCAAAATGTAAGCTTTTGCACACACCTAAATCGCCACCAATTCCCAAGGGAGCTTTTTTACCCCGCGGTAAACAATTGCCTTCTCATCAGCAACGTGCATCCTGCCAGCCACCCCTCCCTCGCTGGCCCGCCCGCTGGGCTGGCACCAGAGCCCCCCCGGCCACCTGCGCGCC